CTTCTTCTTCTTCTTCTTCTTCTTCTTCTTCTTCTTCTTCTTCTTCTTCTTCTTCTTCTTCTTCTTCTTCTTCTTCTTCTTCTTCTTTTTCTTCCAGTAGTTGGACGTTTTTCCCCATACCTTTTTTTAATAAAACAATTTTTAAAATCTGTCTTTTGTCATTCTTCCCGCTTGAGTTGCTTTGATTCCAAGCCAGGTTAGGCACTGTGGTGTAATCAGGTAGGCCTACTCTTTAAAAAAAAAATTAAACTCGAGAGCAAATCAACATTTTTCTGCCCATTTGGCAATTTTCAACAATACTTTCCGTTTTGTCTTGTGGAGAGTAGATCAACATTTTCCCGCCTGTTTAGCAATTTTTAGTAGTCTTTTTTTGTTTTGTTTTGGGCTCAAAACCTTTTATACTTTTATGTCCACTTAACTCTTTAGGGGTGCAGTGAACATGAATACAAACGATGAGATTGACTATCTAGAATATTCACTGCGGGATGATAAAGAAACATCCTTTGTTTTGTTGCCCAAAAGCCTTGAACTGAGCTCTAACTTCATGTAGCTATCTTTCCACTGTCTCTGTCCATCGTGACTCGATCCTTCCCACAAATAATACATGTATACATATAGGTCATGGCCCGTTCCAACATTCTGTCATTCAGTCTGCATTTTGTCTCAGGCATTATTGATTATATAAATTGTTAGAGTTACATAAAGCCACCATAGTGTTCACGAGGACAAGTGTGCTTCATTTCAGTTTCGGAAAGGAAGACGGGAGTTTTAGTTTTAGTTTTTTTGTAAAAGTTTTAGGGCACTTGCAAACACAATTAGATGTCGGATAAGTGCTGAAGATTAGAGTTAATACCAGAAAGTACATAAAAAGAAAACAAAAAGGAGAGATAAAGACGATGTGTAAGATGTTTGACAGGAGAGAAGGAGAAAACCACACCGGAGCACTCCCCAACCACTCACATCATCTTTTTGTTCTTTTTTTAGGGGGAGGGTGCGGGGGGAAGGACTGGGACAACATGTTAGCTAGTTTTTAACTCCTCAAAAACAAACTTGTTAATGCGCATGGTCATGATGTCTAATGATTTTTTTCCTCTATAGCAATAATCCAACCATACTGGGTGAGAGTGAGTTTTTACATAAAATACTATATAAAAACCGTGGCTGAGGGAGGGAGGGTCGAGGGATGGTGAGGGTGAGATGGGGGTGGGGGTTGGAGTGGATGGGG